GCATAATATCCAGCAATTTATTTGCTCTTTTTTCATCTCAAGACGATCAAACGTCGAACAAATCACTAACAGTTGAACATGCAATAGCAAGCATAATCAGTTTGAGCAACATTGGCAACGCATGTATGTCCAGCATCATGGTGTTTGTCCCAGCATTTCTTCCCGCAGTCTAATAAAGTACACCCGCTTGAATACAGCTGCTCTTCGCATCTCTTTTGTGCATAAGCTTGAGGCACGTTTTGCTTGTTCAAGGCAACTGCAAAATCATCAAATTTATAAAAGTGAACAATTTTGTTTCCTTTCCCGCAGAGTATATCTAAAGCAATTCTATTCAATTTACAAGGCATCATAGAATAGAATGATTTTATAGTTTTTTTTTGTGTGTTTTCAATCTTCCTCTTCCTGGGTGCCGAACAATGAGATATATAATAAAGTGTTATATGCAAAGGCAATTAAAAGATAGTTTGCATGCCTTTTATGACTCAAAGCCATGCTTAAGCGGCAAAAATTTGTTGGGTTAAGTAGGAAGGACTTGCTGTCAATGAGGCCTAGTCTAGTGAAAAATAGCATCGACTTGCAGATGTGTGGTCTCAAGTTCGAATCGCCATGGCACCTTGACAATGTGTGTAGGTGTGTGAGAAAACCCCCCTCCCCCTTGATGAGAGGTGAAGAGTGAGAATTCCTTGAACTCTTGTGATGGATGCGAATAAGGATACGTGGTGTATCACTAGAGCTTTAATTAAGTCGCTACATGTTTTACTTAAAACAAAGAGGTAAAATTTATGTGTTGCATTGTGAATCAAGAATAAGTAATTTCATAAACCCCCAAAACAAAAAAACAAAAAAAAGGAAGGCACCAAAAAAACTGACAAGGGATAAGCCAGCAAACCTGAGAAAACAAGAACAAAAAGGAAGAGACGGAAGAAAGAAAACCTAGACATCTCTAGCAACTATGTGTGTAACAAATGTATATTTCTACTTTGTGGAATGTTGGGGAAGAAGACTCCGTGGAGAAGAAATATATAGGGAGGGTGGGGATAAGCGGGTAACAAAACAAGGAAAGCTTTAAACATGTTTTCCTTTTATTTTATTTTTATTTTTAATGTAGTCAGATTTTGCTCTGTTTATATAGTAGTTATATTACATCTTACCTTAACGTTATGTTTGCTAATAAAAACAAATTTATCTTACCTTGTTCTCAATTTTCTTTTCCATCTTCAATTTATAAACAGCAAATCGAAAACAAATTTTTTTTTACCAAATGAGTAATTCAAATATAATACTATTTCAAATTTTTCCTTAGAATAGGTGATGTAGCATATGTTGACGCGAGTTAACCTACTAAATTAAGGAGATTTATTTCCTAAGTTAATTAGGTGATTTACTTCCTTGTTTCACATATTTGACACATCCTTGTATAATTAGGAGGTATTCTCTTAATTAATTACTGTATCAATTACCTTGTAAAGCACCCTTGTAAACTCCTATATATATACCTCCTTATAAAGAAGAATACAATTAACTTAAAGTATTCAAACATAATCATATTTTAGCATGGTATCAGAGCAATCGATCCTAGGTTGTCTCTATAACCTCAAATCATACCCTCAAATCCAAACACAAACCTAAATGAAATTCCTATCCAAATCTTAAACTCCCTCAACAAATATCTTTATCTTACCCTCAAATTGTTCTGATGTAATGGCCGAGGTCTTGCTTCCGCGCAACGTAGGATCTTCTACCTCCACTCCTCAAATCGTTACAATTCAAAGTGACAACGCCCCGCTCCTTGCCGGCGTCACCCTGACTGAGACCAATTATGCCTTATGGTCTCAAGTCATGGAGATACGCATTGCTGCTCGCGAAAAATTGGGTTACCTAACTGGTGACACTCAAAAGCCTCTTGAGCTCTCATCCACCTACAACAAATGGTGTACAGAGAACTTTCGGGTTAAGAGGTGGTTAATCAACTCCACGTCCCCTAACTTGATGAGTCTTTTCATTCGATTAAGTATCGCCAAAGAAATATGGGCTGTTGTCAAGAAGACCTACTATGATGGTGGCAATGAAACATATATTTTTTTTTTCTTAACAAACAGGCGTTCACTATTAAACAGAACGGTGCACCTGTTCATAAATACTACAGCCAGCTGCAGGGCATCTTTCAAGAAATTGACCATCGGAGTCCTATCCACATGCACTGTGCGGTCGATGTGACTAAGCATTAGACAAAACTAGATCGTCTTCGTGTTCACCTTTTTCTTGCCAATGTTGACCCTGAGTTTGATCAAGTCCGGGGGGAAATCCTACGCAAAGATCTTCGAAATTAGACCTTGATCAAACCTTTGCCTATGTTAGTCGCGAAGCTCAACAGAGAATGACCATGACTGGTGCTCAAGAAGATTCTATCATGGTAACTCAATGTCAAAGGGGCCCCCAGAAATCTACCGGTGTGGCTCTTCTCAGAATAAGGCCTCCAAATCTAGTCCGGAGAATAAGTGCACCCACTGTGGATGATTGGTTGTGGTACTGGGAGGGGTGAACTTTATTACATGGACTTGGCGTCTGACAGTGAGGCTAAAGTCGGTCAAGCTTTCAAGATTGAGGTAGCTAGTGTTGAGAAACAAACTAATGAAGTATGGTTATGGCATAGGCATCTTGGACATGCTTCGTTTGGATATTTATAGAAGTTATTTCCATCCTTATTTATTAATTTAGATATTTCAAGTTATTTCCATTCCTTTTCCCTTAAGTTCAAATAAAAATTTCATTCCGTTTTCTCTTATTCATTCTGATGTTTGGGGACTTGCTAAAATTGTCATTCTTGCAAGAGCTCGATGATTTGTCACATTTATAGATGATTGCATACATATGACTTGGGTTCCCAAACACCACTATATCCAAATACCTCCCACCCTCAAACTTGAACATGGGATTTTCGGTTGTGTCGTATTTGTACATTTACATTATAAAAAACAAAGCAAATTAGATCCATGAGCAAAAAAGTGTGTTTTCATTGGCTATGCTCCTCATCAGAAAGGCTACCGATGTTATCACCCTTCAAGTCAGAAGGTATGTACTTCCATAGATGTCGTGTTCTGGGAACACGACATATATTTTTTAGCAGCACATGAGAGAATCTAGAATTAAACACTCCATGGTACCAAAATGAAAGGAGGAAATTGAATTGTTTTAAGATATTTTGCCCGCTCTAGCACCTTCAGCTCTAGTACCACAATTTGACTTCCGCGCAATTTGACTTAATTCATTGTGATATTTGGGGACCTCACAAGAACCCAAAACACTCTGGGGCACGATATTTTCTTATTATTATGGATGATTTCACTCATTTTACTTGGGTGCATCTTATGAATTTCAAATCTGACACACAAACAATTTTGAAATCCTTTTTCTCTTGGGTCAAAACACAATTTCAACGTGACATTAAAGCTCTTCGTGCAGATAATGGTAGTGAATTTCTTTCCATGCGTTCTTACCTAGACTCATGTAGCACCTCATTCCAACATTCTTGTCCTTACACACCACAACAAAACGGGGTGGTTGAACGTAAACATAGGCACCTTTTAAATGTTGGTCGTGCTCTTAGGTTTCAGGCAAACTTACCTTTACAATTTTAGGGGGAAAGTATTCAAACTGCTTGTTATCTCATCAATCGTTTGCCTACACCCTTACTCTCTCATAAATCTCCATACGAACTTTTGCACAACACACCACCAACTTATACGTACTTACGCGTTTTTGGATGCCTTAGTTATGCCACCAGCCTCACACCCACCAATAAGTTTGACGTCCGTGCTCGCTGTTGTGTTTTCCTTGATTATCTTCTTGGCCAAAAAAGGTTATAAGGTATATGATCTAGCCACACATAAATTCTTTATCTCACGTGATGTCATCTTTCATGAGCATATCTTTCCTTACACTTCCTCACCAACTATAGACCAAAACAACATGCATGTTACTCCCATTATCCATCCAGCACATGGCTCCAATTCCCATGACCACACCACCTCTACTCTTGGCCCACATCAAATGGTACTTGATTCACCACACACCATGGTCCCTATTTCCCAAACCAACCTTGAGCCTTCATCACCACTAGCACCAATTCTTACACCACATGCCGACACACCACTCGAACTCATCACTTTCAGCACCTCTCTTCCTCAACCATCTGCACCACCCATTTCTCACCAAGCCCCTCTTCGCCACTCTACTTGTCTCGCCAAACCACCAGCCCACTTCAAAGATTACGTGGCTCATCACTCCACCTTGCTCATGCCCACAGAGGCCCTCTCACGGTCTATGTCCAGCACGCGCCATCCATTACATCGGTATGTTTCATATTCCTACTTATGTCCTGGATATCAATGTTTTATTTCTCATAGCTCCCACTTGGTGGAGCCTACTACCTATGAGTAGGCCTGTTAAAATCCCCAATGGACTGCCGCAATACAAGCCGAACTCACGGCCCTCGAAGAAAATAAAACTTGGAGTTTTGTTCCTCTTCCGCCTGGACAACGACCCATTGGCTGCAAATGGGTTTTCAAACTCAAGTACAGATCCGATGGCACTCTTGAACGCTACAAAGCATGTCTCGTTGCCAAAGGTTTCACCCAACGTGAAGGTATCGACTACAAAGAGACCTTCATATCGGTAGCCAAACTCATTACAGTGCGTTGCCTATTGACTGTGGCTGTTGTTCGCAATTGGTCTTACATCAAATGGACGTCCAAAACGCTTTTATTCATGGAGAACTTCAAGAGGAGGTCTATATGTTGCCTTCCCCGGGTTATCATCGACGGGGGGAGAACGTCGTGTGTCGACTCCATAAATCTTTATATGGTCTTAAACAAGCGTCCAGAAGTTGGTTCTCTTCGGCAATACGTACCATTGGTTTTTGCCAATCTAAGGCAGATTACTCTTTGTTCACTCAAGTCAAGGGTACGTCACTCACCATTATATTGTTATATGTTGATGACATGGTGATTACAGGCAACAATGAGGTAGAAATTAAGAACCTAAAGGCTTTCCTTAGCAGTCAATTTCGAATTAAAGATCTCGGGCCTCTGAAGTATTTCTTTGGAGTCGAGGTCGCACGATCAAAAGCTGGAAGCACAATTTGCCAACGGAAATATACACTGGATATATTGGAGGAGGCTGGATTACTTGGTGCTAAACCCACGAAGGTTCCAATTGTGGCAGATTTGGTACTAACACCTGCAGGTAGCAGTTCACTTCACGAACCTGCGACGTATAGACGCTTAGTTGGAAAATTGATCTATTTGACCATCACAAGACCAGAAATAGCATATACTGTCAACACGTTGAGTCAGTTCATGCAAGATCCACAACCACATCATCTTGATGCAGCGTATCGACTTCTTCGATACCTTAAAGGAGCTCCTGGACAAGGTTTGATGTTTTCTTCCCAAAGTGAATTACATTTAATTGGTTACTGTGACGCAGATTGGGCTCGCTGCCCCATTACACGTCGATCAGTGACTGGTTATTGTATATTCCTTGGAAACTCGTTGGTGTCCTGGAAAAACAAGAAGCAAGTTACAGTAGCTCGTTCATCCGCAGAAGCGGAGTATTGATCTATGGCTGCAGCTACTTGTGAATTAAGTTGGTTGCGATATTTATTGGAAGATTTGCGTGTTAAGCATCCCCAATTGGCAAGATTATTCTGTGACAACCAAGCCGCCCTACACATAGCCGTGAATCCTGTGTATCACGAACGTACAAAGCATATTGAGATCGATTGCCACATTGTTTGTGAGAGGATTCAAAAAGGAGAAATCAAAATTTCCTATGTCAGAACAGGGGAGCAAGTCGCAGACTTATTTACTAAGCCACTACGTGCACCTACACATCTAGGCAAGTTGGGCGTCATTGACATCCACACTCAAACTTTAGGGGGAGTGTTAAAGGAAAATCAATTACACAATCTGATTGAGAGTGATTGGAGATTCCGATATTGTCAACTATTGGGATAGAGTGATTATAAGATGTAAATGTAATTAGCTTTATTCTAGGATCTGCTTACTTAGAATAACACATAGGTTTCGTATAAAATCTTACCTTGTGTACCAATATTGATATCAATGCAATATACGAATTCACAATTCAAGTGTTTGGACTTATGTAAGACTATTTTAAAACCTGAGGGGGTGTTTGTGTAATTTACAAGACCTTAGAGGATTTTGCGAAAACAAGAAAAATCTCAAGAGGTGTTAGTATAAATAACTCAAATTCGAGACAATCAGTCAAAAGACTACAGACAAATGAGTTTCATAATTATGCATATCTTGACACTCATCAAAGGATTAAAAATCAATCTTTAATTTTACAAGGGGGTCGAATGGAACTTGAATCTTATACAAGGACTAAAATTGAAATTATTGAAGGTACACAAATATGGAATTCAAATTTTGTATATGCACAAATTTGGAATCCCTAGTATTATTGTACATACATAAAATTCACATTATTGAATTAAATACAAATATTGAATGACGAATATGATCTGAAGTTTTCAATACTTCTTAAGGAAACTTTTGAACCAATGCGCTGAGAGTTTTGGGTGCCTTTTAAGCCTATTGCTGCGATCTACATAGGTGATACCATATCGAACACTGAATCCCGAATTCCATTCAAAGTCATCTAGAAACGTCCATGGAAAGAATCCCTTCACTTTGACACCATTGCTAAAAAGCAATAAAAGGAAATTAAATATATTAATGTCAATAATATGAATCAATAACTCAAAATCTAAAGCTATACCATATACATACATATACTTAAATATTATAAATGAATTTGTTAATACACTTACTCAATAGAACTTTGAACATAATGAAGGTGGCGATTGTAGAAGGCAATGCTATGGGTATCATTAAGGGCTTCCGCAAGTGATAATTTCGGATCATTCAATTCATCCACACCTACAATATATAATACATTATTATGTCGTTACAAATTTAGACTTTATACCACTTGTGTGTGTAAACCTACAATATATAATACATTATTATGTCGTTACAAATTTAGACTTTATACCACTTGTGCGTGTTTTACACAGAAAATATGTGAAACATTGATCATGAAATTACTTAAGGCTAGAAAAATTACCATTTTCAGTAATGTAAATAATTGGATTGCGATACTTTTTCTTTGTGTAGAGTAAAAGATGTTGAATTCCTTGTGGATAAACATTTAACCCTCCCGATTCACTCTGCACCAAAATTTGAAGATCTTTAGATTTTTAGGAGTCACATTTGTAAGTGCAAAATGATTAATGGTCGAAATCATAAAGGCTTAATCTACTTAATTTGATGCTTACCTTTGGACCGATGGGGACCCCATTACGCTCAGCTGCCACAACACATATGAATATCAGAATCTAATTAGTCTATAAACTTAAATTGCTTGAATTAAATTATGAATTCGAACTCACATGAAAGATTAACGCCAACATCTGTTGTGTAGCTGGCATATACCGAGTTATTTTGAGGTGCATCACTTGCATAGTAACCCGTATAGTAATTTAGTCCAAGAAAATCAAATGAACCAATTAGCAACTTGGATTGTTCTTTCGTGAATTTTGGTAATCTGCTACCGACGAGAGATCGCATGCTTTGCGGATAGTCACCACTTGTCAATGGCTCAGCAAACCTATAAGAATGTAAAAATTTCAAGGATGAACTTGACATTATATTATGTATTGCTCGCTAGTAAGTAGCAAATATTATATTCATAAGCAAATATTCGAAATACACTTGCCATCCGAACATAAAATCCAAAGCTCGTAATGCAGCATTTTTATTTTCTTTTTCTTCCGATAGGGGCTCAAACCAATTTGACACCAGTGTTATCCCTATCACTCCATTTTGAGATGCCTGCACATGAACATTTAGTTTGTTTATTTTAGAGTCACAAAAAGGTAAATTAGTCGCTCTCTTGTTGCAACAAACTAATTAATTATACCTGGTATTTATTTTTGTACAATTTTACGGCAGCTGCATGAGCAAGGAGCTGGTGGTGTGTTACCAAATATGGTTCAATAGATGAATCTCCGCCGGTGCAGTTTAGCTGTTGCCAAGTGGAGCATCGTCCCGGAGCAAGGGACCCAGATGCATAACCATAGGCGCTGAAGGTATATGGCTCATTCAATGTGCTCCAAAGCTTTACTCGATCACCAAATTCTTTATAACAAAGTTCTGCGTAATCTTGAAAATGATTGCTGTATATACACATTTCAGAATGTAAATGTCATAATTGTTTTTATTAATTAAATTGTCAATATGATTCAAAGAACTAATTTCTTCACTTACACAATATGAGGGCTTAAGAAACCACCATATTCATCTTCTAAAGTTTGGGGAAGATCCCAATGAAAG